GGTTTCGGGAAATTTTTGGCATGGGACGACGGGTAATCTACGGCAAGATGCTTCACTAATTAATAAATACGGTTTATTGCAGTTCCGGCTATTACGGATAAGGTGAAAAGGAATAAAAAAGGTTGATGTATTATAAGGGAACAGCACACCACTTACCGCACCTTACATAAGAACTATCGGAATTCGGTACAAAGCAGTGTACCGTTCCGGTGTCGAATTATTTGTATGATAGCATGATGGAATGATAGGGTAATCATAGAAACTTCCGATATCATAGCTTGCATACATATTATGATACCCTACGTATCGTATAATACAATACTTGTGCCAGTCGATGAGATCCAACAGGACTCCAGAGCGCACGGGCTACCGTATGTACTGTACTCGTACAATATCGTGTGAGCGATTTGTCTTTCTCTTTCTCTTTCTCTTTCTCTCTGCACCTCGGAGATTAGAGGGACCTGACGGAGATGGCGAATTACGTGAGCTGTTACGTACGAGTGCAGTGCTTTTTACTCCGGATTACGAGATCGGTTTATGCTTTTCGGGTGCGGAGACTCTGGGATACCGGTACCGGTATGGTGCTGTGCTATGATAATGTGTTTACTCAGCGATGGTCGTGCTTGTACTATCATTTCTCGGTACGGATTGTGTTATACCGTATGTATTAATATCATGCCTTATAGCATACCATGCTGTGCCTACCGCATCTCCTGTGCGGTACGGTGCTAACTTAATAATGTTATGAGGGGCGCATGCCCTCCTGCGGGAAAGTCACTCTTATACACTGTAAACTGTCCTGCTCGCTTGGGCGTCACTACGCTGTTCACTTTCATGATACTGTGGCGGATGGACAGAACAGAGCGGGCTCTCGAGGTTGGTATAGTACCATGATAATATGTGTTGGCATCACATACCTGGTACTCGGTGCATTCGTCGGTGGGGTAAGGGGAATTTGGTGCTGTGGTTCCTTCCATCATCGCCTGCGTGCGAGCGAGCACTGGTGCTAGTTTAGTACCGGTACTCGGCAAAAGTAGCCCGCGAGACGAGGTTTCTCTCTGCCGGAGATTACGGTGGCCCAGGGTGGGGCATCGCGCAATTGGGGTCCGTGTACCGTATCGTAGGTTGGATCCCGTTCCAACGACAGGGCCAAGGCCAGGGAGAAACTCCACTTCATCAAGCCAAGACTTTTTTTTTTTTGCCCAATTGTCTGTGTGCGGTATCCTGGGCGGGGCTATGAAATTACCGTACTGGTATTTCTGATCAAGGTTTGTTTGGAGTACCTGTGGTTGATCTACTCGTGGAGTTGATAAAGGGTTGAATGAGGGATGGCCCCGGTAGGGATACTGGCATAGTGGGACATTGCTGTCCTTTAACTTTGCGACTGTGCTATGCTGGGCTGTACTAAAGACATTCTCGTTAGATGTCTCCCTCACCACGCCAGACGCGCGTGTACGAGTACGATATCATACAATTCCGACGTGAACGGCAGCTAACCGCACTGGTGACCAAACATGCTGGCACACGCTCAACCAAACTCATCCGACCCGGATATCGCCTGCAAGGTGGCTGAACCCGGGAAATCACCAACAACCCCCCGATCAGATCAAAGCTTAGCATAGGCTAATTGCTGAGGAAGTTTGAATCCAACTCTAATTTGGGCTTAGGCTCATCACCTTCCCATCACAAAGACCCACCACGACACATAACTTCACTCGACCCCCAAACCCAAACCCAAACACACCAAATACCGGCAAACCCGCCCCTACCGTTCCAAACGGGCTCACGACAAGCAGAAACCCAACGTATAGCAGGGCGAGAAACTTCCATCCGTCCCGCGGATCTGGTAACTTTTTTGTCACAACTTGTTGTAACCGACCGACAACCTCTGCATGCGAGATGAGATGGGACGTGGGGCCATGCACCGTGGGTGTTGTGGTTGTGTCGTTTAGCGAAACGAACGAACGTGTGGGGGGGGACTGGGGCGGGGCGGGGCGGCAGAGATGCGGTTCGTGTGATACTGTGGCATATCGAATGCTGTAATTGGGCCTTGTGCTTTGCATCCTCTCGCAAAGTTTGGTATTGTCATATTTTTTTTTTCCTCCGAATCCTTCAGGGAGGCTGAATAGTTTGTTTTTCATCCCCTGTTCCCCCCCCCCCCTTTTCTGCGGGAGGAGATTTTGGACTATCATGTCCAGCTGGCGGGTCAATTGCCCGGGATTCTGGGTAGGGTACCGTATCGTAGCA